TTTTAAGTGTACATTTCTAATATAATACATCATCTGTTTTACATTTAGATCTATGATCCATTTGAGTTATTTTTGTATATGAGTTCAGGTTCCTTTTTTGCATATGGATATAAATTGTTGCAGTACCATTTGTTGAAAAGACAACCCTTTATCTACTGAATTTCCTTTGAGCCTTTGTCAAGAATCAATTGTCCACATATGTGCGGCTCCACTTCTGGATTGTCTATTTTCTTCCACTTATCTATCTTTACACCACACTCTCTTGATTACTGTAGGTTTATAATTCTTGAAATCAGGTAGCTAATACTTTAGCTCCAAATTTGTGTTCTTTTTCAAAGTTATTTTGGCTATTCTAGGTCCTTTTATTTTCTTATGATTTTTTTAATCAGTTTGTCACCCCCTCCACCCCCCACCCCAAACACACACACACCCTTGAGAGTTTGACTGAGATTGCACTGAATCTACAGATTCAATTGAGGAGAACTGACATCTTAAGCTTTCTTATCCATGTCTCTGAATAAATTTCTCTCAGCAATGTTTTTGCAGTTTTCAGTGTACACATCTTACGTATCTTTTGTCAGAAAAGTATTTCCTGTATTTTACACTATTGGAAATGGTATTATCTTTAAAATTATAATTCCTCACTGTTTGTTGTTGGTTTATAGAAACTGTATATCAATTTTGCTTCTTGTACCAATGGTAAACTCATTAGTTCTACTAGACTTTTTAGTGGATTCCATTGGAGTTTCTACACAGATGATCAAGTCATCTGAGAATAAAGATAGTTTCACTTCTTTTCCAATCTGGATGCCTCTTATTCTTTTTCTTGTCTTACTGCACTAGTTAGTAAAATGACGAATACAAGGAGCAGACATACTTGTCCTGCTCCTTATCTTTGGGGGAAAGCAGTCAGTCTTTTACTATTAAGTATAATGTTAACTATAGGTATTTCACAAATGCACTTTATGAGGTTAAGGAAGTTCATTTCTATTTGTAGTTTGCTGAGTTTTTATCAGGAATGAATGTAGGATTTTGTCAAATGCTCTTTCTGTGTCTGTAGAGATGATCAAATGGTGTTCCTTTTTTCTTTGCTAATATGGTGAATGACATTGATTGATTTTCAAATACTAAGACAACCTTACAGTCCTGGATAAACCCTGCTTGGTCATGGTATATTATCCTTTTTATATATTGTTGAGTCTTATTTGCCAAACTTGGTTTAAAATATTTGCATCTATATTCATGAAGGATATCAATTTGTAGTTTTCTTTTCTAGTATTGTGTTTGCGTGGTTTTGGTACCTGGGTAACACTACCCTCATAGAATAAGATGGAAAGTATTCTCTACTCCTCAATTTTGTAAAAACTTTTGTAGAATTGGTATTATTTCTTTCTGGAATGACTGATAGAATTGACCAGTGAAAAAATCTGGGCCTAGAGTTTTCTTTGTGAGGAGCTTATAAAGTAAAAATTCAATTTCTTTAATACATAGGGCTAATCAGGTTATTTCATACATTTTTTTCTTCTGTCTTTCCTTTTTCACTGTTTCAGGTAGGAGAGTAAATCTTGAGTCCATTTTGGCCAGAAGTAGAAGTTTAATGTGTTGATATTGAAAGTTTTTTTCATAAAAAATTATGCTACTTCTTGAAATATACCTCAAAAAAGGATGACTAGAAGGATGTATCTCAAGTGGCTTATAAAGGAATGCTCTCTATGCTTAGATCCCGATTAGCATTCAGAGGCTTAGCCTAACTGGAAAATGGAACATACACTGATTCACTTTTTATTGATGGAGGGTGTGACAGAGGGTCAGTCAACGTTTAGGTACTCTTAACCATAGTAATACAGTAATGTGTTTTAAGATGATTGACATTATCACTGAATGTTAATGTCTAAGAAACACATTTGAAATAAAAACATCAGTAGGGCTTTGTATTTTGTCTAACACAAAGGAAGTCCTCAATAAATACCTTTGTAATGAATAAATAAATGATTATATAGAAAGCTTTGATTTCCTGGATCCTCTATTGAGAATTCCACCTATCTCATCAATAACTTTCAAACATCCCAGATATTAGAGAAAATACAATTCTCAAGGATTTAATAAGATAGTGACCTTTGTAAGTTTTTTATAATTTATCAAAGTCCTGAAAAGTGAGAAAGTAGTTAATATTTGAAGTTTATCAGTTTACCAACTTCCCCTTTGAACACCAATTTTGAAAACACAAATCAATTTCAAGACTTATTATATGAATCTTTGTTGATCTATTGATTGCTCTATTTTGAAAATGAATTTCAACCGGTTTGATTTTCACAATTGTAATAAATTCAGAGTGAAGTTGAAAAACTTACACAGTGGTAGCTCACACTCCATAAAATACCCTTATGAATCATGTTTACAAATCACTATTTTTGTGTTATCTCTAATCAATACTGGCTCATGTAAGAGCCACTTTCAGAAAATTTCAGGCAGAAAATAACATTGGATAAACACTTATGCTTTCAATAAATTAAATTTTCTTCTAACATGTTGTGTCTTTTATTTATGAGACCAAAGATGACAATGAAACATCAACAGAGCATTTGTAATTGTACTCCATATTTTTTGGCATAATGCCTGAGCCTTGGTTAATAATTTACTCTGTAAACGGTTATTTCTAATTGGGTACTTTTCCAGGACATTATTAACAATTTTCAAAGCATTGTGGTTCTTGATTAGAACTCTCCTTTTTTCATAAAATGCCAGTAACAATACTATACTTCCTGTATTCCTTTAGTACATTTCAAAATCATTGTCTTGGCCCTTCTTTTGTCATCATCTTGACTAGTTGTAAAAATAGCCCACATTTTGAGATGAAAAATTAAGCACAATAATTGCTGTATGACCTCATTTGACACAGTTTTGACTGTGTAAAGGTGCTAATGTTAGATATTCATCATGTTTAAAGATTTTCAATTCAGTTGAACAAGCACTCTCACTACATGCCAGATACTGTGGTAGGCAAAGATGATACAAAGATTAATAAGACAACTTATTTACAATTAAGGAGCTTATTATCTAGACTAGCAGCTTTCAGCTGAAGATTCTCAACACACCAGTGTATTATAGTAAGTTATGAGGTGTCTGTTACAACTTATAACACCAATATCAGCAAAGGCACTGTTTTAAAAATTATTTGCACTTTATGAAATAAGCCAGAATAGCTACTGCCATAATCATTTCATTTCCACACACTTGTTTTCTAGTATGTTCATGACACAATGTTAATTGAAAAATGCATGATTAAAAAAATAAGTGTAGCACGTCCTAAGTTTGTTTTAAAAATATCACATGGACAAATAGGGGATAAATATTTTTAGAAAGTAATTAATGTAATATTTAAATTACTTAGTGCACCAAAATGTTAACAGTGGTTCTCTTTAGGTGGTAGGATTTTCATAATGTCATTGAAAATAAATAATTCAAGATAGATAGTAAGAGAAGATGTGTAAATGATTATCAAATAAACACTCCAAAAATAATTTCCATATGAATTCAGAGGAGGGACAAATTCCTTCAAGCTAGAATGGTCATGTAGGACTTTATAGACAGGATGTGTCTCAAGGGTGGACGACTGCTGCAGAGACCATGAGGATGTGCTAACCCACAACCCTACTGAAGTTAAGACGGACCTAAATCAGGTTGAATTTCACCTACCACATTGACTCTCACTGGACATACTATTCCAGATGTATTCAGATCTGGACTAGGTAGCTATCTGTTTCTCCCTACTATATTTTAATCTATGCAGCTTGGGATGAAAGTAGTTTTTGGCAACTTCATCATCCTAGTGACTCACACTGAGCTTGCATTCAACTAACCCTCTCAAGTCTGTTCCTATCCTGATGTTGAGCAACAATTTCCAGAGCACTGAGGTGTTTTAGGCTCCTGACTCCAATGACTAACACATTTAAAGCCTCCGCCTAGTCTCCACCCCACCTGAAAGCTTGGGGAGCAGGCTGTTTAGGTAATGTGACAGTTATCAATTTACTGCCCCTTTGCTCCAAATGTACGTTCATTGCCTGCTTTGCAACAATGGAGCTGAACCTTGTAAATATTTCTCCTTTGCCAGATGGCACAATGTGAAGCTTTGTCAGGGGAGCACACTGGAGGGACATTGGAGGAGGACGGAGTGTGTCTTTCTGGTACCAGTATGTTCCTCTCAGCAGGCTTCTGCAACACATGGCCCCCATGGCACCCAGCTCCTGCAGACATGGTGGCCAGCGGTGCATGGCACCTCCCCAAGGGCACGTATTCCCTTGAGCAGCCTACAGAGCAGTGCTGCTGGTGCAATACTTCCTTGGAACCCCTCCAGGAACCTCCCCAGTACCTGAGAGGGCAGATTCCCAGAGCCCTACTGGCACAGAACCCCCAGCCAACTGCTCTGCCCCCTACTGAACTACAGCTGCACCCCTTCCAACAGGGTCTGGATCTCAGCTTTGCTGCGGGGAGACTTTCTAGGGCTGGTGGCTACATCTAATATCTGCTATTCCTCTGTTCTTCAGAGTTCTTCTTACTCTTTACTAGCCAATCCTCGATTACCCCAATATTCTGCCACAGTTGAAATTTGTCATATTGAACTTTCTTTCTTCAAATTATGTGGGATTTTTGTCTCCTGATTAGACCCTGAATGACAAAGGCAGTTATTTGAACTATTGATAATAATCTTGCTGGGATAGAGATAAGGACAAAGCTACCCAAAGCTTCCTGGTATATAATAATCTGCTCAACAAGGCAGAAAATTTGGTAATACATTACAGAAAGGTTCTCACAAAAATGTCCAAAATGTAAATTGTGGAGGCTATTTAATTGGGGGAGGAGGATTACTTGGAGAATTTACTTATATGTGACAGTTTATCTCTGCATTTACAGGTCCCTCTGCTTGCAACACCTACCCCTTCTTCCCACACTGGCTCCCTCTAGTCATGTCTCAGTACAAATTTCAGCTTCTCAGTGAAGCTTTTCCTGATCATTCCATCTCAGCTTGAACTTACCCCCACCTCATACCTGTCTATCTCTGTAACATCATCCATTTCAATTTCTTCATATTACTTATATGTACTTATTTATTGTCCACTTTTAACTTCTTGAACATAAGCTCCAGGAGAGAACTGAGCTCATCTCTCCAGCACCAAGGCCAGTGCCCAGCACATACTGGGCATTCCATAAGTATTCGTGGAATTGAGAGAATTTCTCTATGGTCTTAGATGAATGAGATAACATGCTATTTAAATTAGAGACCTAAAGATGCTATTAAGATTTTACACTTGTGAGTTATCCATCAACTGTAAAGTTAGAGGTTTTATAAATGACGAGTATTTCTAGAATGGATATAAACTTAATAAAACCCAAAGGAAAAAGTCTGTAATCCCCGCCAAAACAAATGCAGCTTGTTATATTAACAGACTACTTACCAATTTTGTTTTTTCCTTCTTCGTACTTGACTCTTTGTAAAATATGATGTACAATTCTACTTCTTGTGGCATTGTTGAAGAAAGTGTCCTTGTTGTGTATGATGAAGCTGCACACACACATTGAAAACACAGGTTGAGGATTCATTGGAGGCAAGGGGTCAAATCTTTGAGTCAATTTGGTGTTACTCATATAGAAGTGTCTCCAATCAGGCATAGACAGGGTATGTCTAGAAGAGCATGAGGGTGCCCAGAGGTCACACCAGGGGCAGGAGGCTCACAAATCTCCGTAGTTTTGGTTCTCAATCTCCTAAGCATTTAACGTCATTATGTCAGGAAGGGGCTAGAGCTAAACAAAATTAAGAAACCTTAAAATAAACTAATAGTGAGTCTAGGCCTCATATCTTGTTTTTTTCAGTAAGGTCATTAGACAAATTCAACTCAAAATTCATTTTGTTTTTATCTCTTCGCTTCTACACCACCCCTTCCCATGTCATATCCACCTGATTTTTCAGGAATTTCATTATCTGAAACTGGCTTGGGGGGTGAACACAGAACTTAGGTAATGAGCTCTGGTCTGGCTCAGGGGTGAGGTGAGAGGGAAGTCTCTAAAATCACCCCTGTCCATTCCTTTCCCATGTTCTTTCCTGGATGAGACCTCTTTTCTAAAGCCTATGCTTAAGATTGCTTTCTCTCTCAGCCAGCAGCCCACTCAGCCTCCCAACTTTCTCACAGGGCTCAGCAACCCCTCTTCCCCCCGATACTGGGTTTTCCGGTAGATGAAACTGAGGGGTTTTCCAGGTGAGAGATGGAGTTTCCAGAACCATGCAATCCAGCAGGAAGTGGGCATGACTTCCCTTCCCAGGAAGGTGTTAAAAGGTAGAATATTAGAGATACTGCAAGTATAATTGCTTCATAAACTGTAAAGTTTAACCCAAGCAAGCCTTTATTGGGTACTTCATATGAGCTGGACACCATGCAAGGCATATCAGTGTTGGCAGCCATCGCCCTCCAAATCCAACCCAGAAGTCACCTCCCCCAGCCAGTCTCCCCACCCATCCTGCCCTGCAAAGAATTCAGTACTCTCTCTTGAGCTTCTTATCTTGAAAACACATTAATTTACTGATTGTTTTGTAGTTATTTGTTTTTATTCATTCACTCAGCAAATGTTTATAGAGGGCTCTCTGCAAAGTATTGCTTATAAATGGTAAATAAAACAGATAAAATCTTTGTCCTTGAGAGGCTTACAGGCTAGTGGGGGAGACAAACCATAAAGGAAATGAACACGAGCGCAGGGCAGAGACAGGCAGAATCAACCTTCTTTGACATGTCTTCCTCCCACATAAGACTGTGGGCTCACACAGGACAGAAGGCTGAATCATCGTAATTTCTGTCGCCCCAGGAGCCAGTGAGTGGCTGGCACACAGTACAGGTACAGGTTTTTTAACAACAGTAAGTGAGGGTCATGGGAGTTTATGTTGGAAAAACTGCCATGAAATGTGTTTTCTTCAAGAAGAGGGATGATCAAGAATCATTCAAATGATGGAGGAAGAGACAAAACTGGCCTAGAGAAAGGGTGGTCCAGACGTGGGGTTCGGTTTGGGAACAGAGTTGGGAATGCGTGTTTGGGGTAACATGAAAAGGAGAGAACGAACAGAGAAATGAAGACAAAATATGTAAATCATATGAACCAATTCCTTAGAGAAATAGTTTTCTCTCACTTTTACTTCTCTTGAATTCTGTTATAGAATATTTTTCTCAGAAAACAGTAATTGGACTTGATGGCTGAGAGATAAATCCTATGTGGGTGAATGTGGAAGCTGAAGAATTTATTTTATATTTTCTCTAGAGTGTTCCAGAAACATTTTATGGCATCAAAGAGGAAGAGGTAAAAACCAAGAGATACATTGAAGGTGGTTCCTTTTGTTTTATCCTCCTCTGCTTTTTTCATCTTGAGACAGACTGTTGCATTTTGAGGGGGAGTATTTTGAGGGGGATTAATGGCAATATGTCTTTTACTGTAATATATATATATATATTTAAATGTAAACATTCACTGTATTTTCTGATCACACCTCATATACAGCATGTGCCAGGAGCTATTCTAAGCACTCCAGATATGTTAACTCATGCAACCCTTACAATAATCCAGGAGGTTAAGTACTTTATAGCCCCATTTTACAGGTAAAGAATCAGAGAGGTTAAGCGATGTGCCCAAAGGCACTCAACGAGTAAGAGGCAAAGCCAGGATTTGAACTCCGGCACTCTGGCTCTAGAGACTGTCCTCTTAAGCACTCCGTTCTTCTGACTCCCTGGGTCAGAAACTTCCTGACTCCTGGACGTTGGCTCTCCTTGGGATTAGCCCAAGAGTTCCTCTGTTTGGAATGTTCTCCTTGCTTCCATTCAACCTGCAAACCTCAGCTCAGGGCCACGCACCTCTAAGGGTCTTCCTGAACCCCACCTATACCCCCAAAAGTAATGTGGTGCTATAAAAAGAGAAGGAAGCAGAAAACCTTTGATGAAGGAGAGAGATGGGAGTCTAGTTATAACATCACTCCTCCTTTCCCTTAAGACTCTGAGATGAGATAGTCTTCAGTCCATATACCCTGGCTTTGCCACTTACTATGTGGTGTTAGGACCACCCCTCAACTTCTTTAGGTCTCAGTTTCTTCACCTGTGAAAATGGGGGTAACACTGTAACCTCTCATAGGGTTTTTGTAGAATTAGGAGAGATGGCGAGCCCTGTTCAGCCCACTGTCTGGCAGTCAATAAGCTCTCGGAGTTGGTTGTCCTCATTGCTGTGGCTTCTATGACATTATACAGATCTTGTCTGCCTACATGCCGGACTTCTCTGTAAGAGCTCTTGAGGCAGGGACCAGTCATACTCCTCTCTGTATCCCAGCACTGGCACAGGGCTTGGCACATAACAAGCTCTCAAAGCTGGCTCAAATGAGCTGAACTTCTGGAGAATGCCAGCTAACACTGGCAGTTACGAGGCTAAAGCTCATCTCCTTATACCTTGGCCTCTACTCCTGCTTCCTGGAAATCTTTCTCCCCACTCCATCTTTCCAGCTACCACTTAAACCATTCTCTCTGCAAATTGCAGAAGGATCTCCCTGTAGGGTGTGAAGCAATCTCTTTTTCTCTGTCACTCCTTTAAACTGGAGGGCTAACAGAAGGAATAGTGATGACTCTCTGCATCATGGTTCTCAAGCTTTTCTTAACTACTTCACTAGAACAACTTTCTTCAAATGAAATCAAACTCTCTCTCTCTCTCTCTCTCGCTCTCGCTCTCGCTCTCGCTCTTGCTCTCGCTCGCTCTCTCTCTCTCTCTCTCTCTCTCTCACACACACACACACACACACTGGAAGCTGAGCTGTACTCGGAAACACAAAACTTGGTGCTCAGTCTCACTCAGCTCTGTTCACACACATTGCTGGTGGGACAGCAAGTTAGTACAAATTCTGAGGGCAACTTGACCAGATCTATCAAAATTATGCATAGATCCTCATTAAGTACCTCCTGACCCAGCAATTCCTCCTTTAGAAATCTACTCTGCAAATACATTCACCCACATGCAAAGTGACAAATGTACATGAAGGCTCATTGCGGCATAAGTTATCATAGCCAAAAATCTGGAAATGACCTAAATAATTCATCAGTGGAGGACAGGATAAACAAATCATGGTACAAATCTACAATGAAATACTCTGCAGCTATAAAAAGATGAAGGGTGCTCACTATAGATATAAAAAAGAAATCTCCAAGACACTGCAGGGGGA